CATCGACGGCATCCGCGACCTGGAAGTCAGAGCTGCTGTGATGCTCGGGCACCACGAGACGCTTAAGGACGCCTTGGCCCATGCACTGGAAGTGGAAGCCGTGCGGCAGGATCATCGTTCCCATCGCGTCAGGGAGGTTGCAGCAGCTACAGTTCGCGACTGCAACTAAGGATACAGCCCAAGGTGCTATGGCTGTGGGGAAAAGGGCCATCTTCGATCCAGCTGCCCTAAGCGAACCCTAGAAAGGGAAGGTGAACGATCTCAGGAGGGTAGTGCGGCCAACAGCACCGCCCAGCAGCAGCAGGGAAACGAGTAAAAGCCATAACTGCGGGGCGGGTGCTGGCTGATGTTAAAACAGCCCCAAGGATCTCGATCTCACAAACCCATGATGGGAACAGTCTAATCATCAAGGGCGAGGTCAACGGAATGCCGTGTAAACTGACCATAGACACTGGAGCCTCTCGTACGGTTGTTAGTTCCCAACTTATAAGTCAGTTCCTTGGTGACTCCGCATACAACCGAGAACGCATTAATTTGGTAACAGCCACCGGTCAGCGTATACCCGTTCGTGGAGAGAAGGAGATGGAGTTGAAGCTTGGCAACGTGATCTACCTGCATAATGTCATCGTGGCTGATATAATGGAGGACTGCATCCTAGGCCTAGACTTTATGAGGAATAATTGTTGTGAGATCGACGTTAAGCAAGGTGTTTTGAAATGTGGACAGGAGGAACTTTTTATGGAAGGTGCGTTACCAGGGTTCCGCCGAGATCGGAAACGATTGTTCCGGTTAGTCCTCCCCGAAACGCTGGGCAAGCTCACCGTTGTGTACTTGTGGAAAGGGTAAACAATGACCTTCCATGGAAAGAAGCTCGAACCTTGGTCAGAACCACTGACATCTCAAGAATACGTGTGCTGAAACTTTGCGACCGGGAACAGATTATAGAAAAAGGCACACTGGTTGGCACTTGTGAGGAAGTGGATTGGTTACGTCGGTGCCAATATATATCGAGTGGGACCCCCAGCAAGGATTCAGAAACGAGAGTGACCACACTTTTGGAAGACTGTCGCAGTGTTCTCTCCCCGAACGAATTGGTCAAGGCGAAGAAGTTGTTACTCAAGTACGCCGATGTGTTCTCGTCAAACGATGCTGACATAGGAAAGACTGGCTTAGTTCAACACAAAATAAACACAGGAGAGGAATTGCCTATCCGTCGGCGGCCAAGAAGATTGCCGGTAGCACGTGAAAAGGAAGTGGAAACCATGATTGAGGGAATGGTGAAGGATGGTGTTATTGAACCTTCATCTAGTCCATGGTGTTCACCCGTGGTGCTGGTAAAGAAGAAAGATGGCAGCATGCGGTTCTGTGTTGATTACCGTCGTCTGAACGACGTTACAAAGAAGGACAGCTATCCCTTGCCAAGAATTGATGACACGTTGGACATGCTTACAGGAGTAAAATGGTTTAGCACGCTGGATCTAAAAAATGGCTACTGGCAAGTTGAAATTGACCCTAAGGACAAGGAGAAAACTGCGTTCTCGACGGGAAAGGGTCTGTGGCAATTCAAAGTAATGCCGTTTGGGTTGTGCAATGCTCCAGCAACGTTTGAAAGGCTGATGGAACTTGTACTTACCGGGCTAATTGGCGATGCCTGTCTGGTCTACTTGGATGACACCATCATCGTGGGCCGTACATTTGAGGAACACCTTGAAAACCTGGGACGCGTGCTCATGAAGGTTCAGAGTGCCAATCTCAAGCTGAGTCCGAAGAAATGTTCACTATTCAAACGGCAAGTCAACTTTTTGGGGTATGCAGTGTCGGAAGAAGGTATCCGCACGGATCCAGAGAAAATTGCAGCTGTAAAGGATTGGCCGGTTCCAAAAGACAAGACGCAAGCTAAGCATTTTGGTGTGCTCCTATTACCGGCGATTTTTGAAGAACTTTGCAGATATAGCCAAACCTCTGCATAAGCTAACCGAGGAGAAACGACATTTCTGCTGGGATGAAAGTTGTAATATCGCATTCCAGGAGCTCAAGGACCGTCTGGGCAAAACACCTATTTTGGGATACCCTGATGGAAGCAAAGAATTTATAGTTGACACAGACGCAAGTGATATAGGACTTGGCGGTGTGCTGTCTCAACGGAATGGTGACCAAGAGGTCTTGATAGCGTACTTCAGCAAGTCGTTGTCAAAACCGGAAAGGAACTATTGTGTCACAAGACGCGAATTGCTAGCTGTGGTAAAGTCGTTGCAGCATTTTAGCATATATCTTCTGGGGCGAAAATTTCACTTACGAACTGACCATGCTGCACTAAAATGGCTATTGCAGTTTAAAAATCCAGAAGGACAAGTTGCGAGGTGGATTGAACTACTGCAGGAATACGACTTTGAGATCGAACATCGCAGCGGGAAATCTCATGGCAACGCAGATGCATTATCACGAAGACCTTGTCCTGAAGATTGCAAACATTGTACTAGGCAAGAGAGTAAGGAAGTGGTATCCGTGAGGATGCTCAGGGCAGACTACCTCAGCAACGAGTGGAAGGACAGCTTTCAACGTGCACAGCAGGAAGATCCGGACATCAAGCCGATCCTGGAATGGATGAAGGCCAGTGCTCCCAAGCCCAAGTGGAGCGACGTCTCAGCGATGAGTTCGACCACTAAAAGCTATTGGGCCCAGTGGGACAGCTTGCTGCTTCAGGATGGAGTTCTGTGCCGTAAATGGGAAAATGTTCGGGGAGACAGCTGTCATTCACAAATGGTTGTCCCTAAAGCTAAAGTACCGGATGTTCTACAGCTGTACCATAATGATTATTCAGGAGGCCATCTGGGAGTTAAACGAACTCTACTGAAGATCCGAGAACGGTTTTACTGGGTCCACTGTCGAAACGATGTCGAGGACTGGTGTCGCAAATGTACAAGTTGTGCAGCTGTAAAGGGACCTCAGACTCGTAGTAGAGGTGCATTGAAGTTGTACAATGTTGGTGCACCATGGGAGAGAATAGCCATTGACGTGGCGGGGCCGTTTCCGGAGAGTGGAAGCGGTAACAAGTATTTCATGGTTGTGATGGATTACTTCACTAAGTGGCCAGAAGTCTTCGTCATTCCAAATCAAGAAGCTTCAACAGTTGCTGATAAGCTAGTTCATGAAGTCTTCTGTCGTTTTGGTGTACCTTTAGAGATTCACAGCGATCAAGGAAGGAATTTTGAGTCTCAAATATTCCAGGAAACTTGACGAGTTACGGGTACTCATAAAACAAGAACGACTTCTTATCACCCGCAATCTGATGGAATGGTAGAACGATTTAATCAGACATTGGAGAGGTACCTAGCCGAAGTTGTAGACAATCGGCAACGAGATTGGGACAAGCACATACAACCGTTTTTGTTGTCATATCGAAGCGCTGTGCACGAAAGTACAGCAGTGACACCAGATTTCGCAAACTTTGGAAGAGAATTACGGCTGCCTGCAGACCTGATCACCGGGATACCACCTGATGCTCCACGCAGTATAACCGATTATGCAAATGACTTGCGGAACAAAATGAATGACGTTTATGATCACGTCAGACAATCGGGCCAGCAAATGACTGAAAAGATGAAAACCCGGTATGACCGCAAAATGAACAACAAAGGGTTCGACGAAGGTTCACTTGTGTGGTTACACAATCCAGTCCGCAGCAAAGGGAAATCTCCTAAGCTTCAAGCTAAATGGGACGGCCCGTACCGGATTGTGACCAGGATCAACGATGTGACCTACCGGATACAGAAAGGCGCAAAAGGGACTCCTAAGATCGTCCATGTGGATCGCCTAGCGCGTTATTATGGGGCCAATAATGCTCGGGACGAGCATATCTTAGGAGGGGGCAGTGTTACGCACTCAAATCGGCGCACTAGCGCCATCTAGGCTCGAACCGGAGAACTAAACTTCTTGAAGTTTAATACTCGAACTCTCGTTACCTTGCGCGTGTTTACTAACATTCTGGATATATAAATAGGCGCTGCAAGATGCGATCGAAGTAGAGTTGAACTCGGCGACACAAGCGAAGCTTCGGAGCGGAATTAAGTGAATTAGTGTGTTTAATTATTAGTGTTTTAAGTTTTAATTTGTGTAAAGTAAATTAAAGTGTTAATTTAGGTAATTTTATCGGCAATTTTTATTGTCACGAACCCTAAGCTCGTAACATTACTTTAATTCATTAAGAAGCGGCGAAAGAAGCCGAGCACACAGCAGTTTTGCTAGTTTTGAATAGAAAAACTGTCAATTTTACGAGTTTGGGTACATTCAACTCATCATTCATCATCATTACAGCCCTTCACAAGTCTGCTGCTGAACATAGGCCTACTCCAAGTAATACCACAGAGCTGTAATGTTGGGGTTCCTAATGGGTGTTATTCAAGGAAACGACCACATTAGTTACGTACTATTTAATGAATGCGCTGGTAATAATCTAAAATAATGCTAATAAGGTATAGTGCAAACTCAGCATACATACGGTTATAAATTAAATTAGCTTTTTATTAATAGGTTATATTACTATATCTATACATACATCATAAGTACATTAATTATCATATCACATCAGATTTAATTAATTTTAAACATTAAATCTGAGCTAACACCATATGCTCAGTGTTAATTCACTCGTATTTTAGTTATTTGACATTTGTTGTAATGTAAAGCTGGATTTTTTTTGACAAACATTGATTTTTTGAAAGGAAACTAATGAAATGTATAACAAATAGGATGCATAGGTACGTATCTGTATCTATACTATGTTTGTAAATATTATAACTACTTAAAAAGTAAATAAGATTAAGCTGTCTCGCGCGGCGCCGGAGAAATCCTACCATTCTGTTTTTATATCTCTGTCGCCTCTTACGATACACATTATACGATATTGTGTGATGGATACGTATTCATACACCGCCACTACTCTGTTAATGGTAGATGATGATGACCAAAAACAGAGATTTTAAATATTTCATTTTTTTCAGACAATTGAGTGCATTGACGGATCTGATGAAAAATCCGAATTGTGCGGTAGAAGAATATTAGTTAGACCAACTACAGTACCACCTACGACGGCGGTACCCAGGTATAAAGCTTCATGAAGCAATTGACGGCTTTTTGTACATATATTTTTGAAATAAATTCATAAACTCAAAACATTAATATAAGAGAAAATACGTTCCCGAAGGGTATCCTTTTTGCAAGCGAACTTAATTCGCGGAAGTAAACTTCTTCACAATATGCTGATGTGTCACAATGGGAAGTTTTTGTGATATTTTGACGGCAGCTCGAGCCAGTAGACAGTGGATGACGATATTATTTCAAAGCGCCGCAGCAGATAACTTGATGTTCATACCGCCATAGCAGCACTTGTTTTATAGTTACCCTAAACGTTAATAATTAATATGCTTAGACATAATATAATCGACGACCCGAAATGATCTCAAAATGGTAGCGTTCTCCCCTGCGCCGCGAGCGATGCGTGAAGTGCTGATACGCGGCGCGTGTAGGTATTTTCGAAAATTCAATCTGTTTCACATCGCTCACTCCGTATCGCCTTCGTGCGATAGAGAGAGAGAGAGAGAGAGAGAGAGAGAGAGAGAGAGCTGTAAATGTCGGAAGTAATTGCCTACACATTCTTTTGAAAATATTGTTTCGAGCGATAACCTTTTCACCCCCTAAAACCTTTACGAAATGAGACAATTTTGGTCTCATTACATTCAGTACTCGCACACCTCAGTTTTGGTTTGTACGTTTTTCTTTTCTAGTAATTTAGTTTAGGTTATTTAAACAAAATAAAAATATTCGAGGATATTTTTAAGTTAAAACATAGATATTTAGATGCTAATAACCTATATCGTATGCAATATTTCCTTAAAATAAAAACGTAAAGACCTGGTGTTTCATTATATTTACACTATTTCCAATAATTATGAAAATTAGACTATGTTTACGGGAGGGAAATGGTTATCGCTTTTTGTATGAAAATTTACAGCTTCGCAATCCTCTTAACGTAACTAATTATTTGATTCTTAACTATCGAGCGGTGTAATTCAATTTTGGTTGTATGTATATGAAAAATATGTAGCTGCATTACCAAACTGTATCTTCCGATTTTATTACCATCAGATTTCTGAATTGCCTCCCACTCTGGAAACAAAAAGACGTATTCACGTCAAAACTGAACCAACAATCTAACGGCGGTGAAGTTCCCGCCAAAACTATCTACATTCTTACACTGAATTAGAAATACTAATATTTTTTATAAATATATATAGGTTGTTGTTAATTTACGTTTAATAATATGCTTATTTTTTAAAGGTGTGAATTACCAGAACAACCCCTAAACGGTTCGTATAGTGTGGTCAGTGAAAGCAACACCACTCAGACTGATCATGTTTATTTAAACTACACGTGTGATCCAGGATTTAAGCTTGATGGGTATTCAAATGTTTTATGCTTGGAGGGCACTTGGCCTGATAAGATGCCTCGGTGTGTACGTAAGTAAATGTTTATTGCAGTGTATCTATTTTTTTTATAATAATGGTATGAGAGTAGGGCATAGAGAGTGTACCTGTTTTTATTTGGTGTGTGGTATACACGAGACTATGAAACACAAAACAGTTATATATATATATATATATATATATATATATATATATATATATACATATAAATTGCGTGTCACGTTGTTTGTCCGCGATGGAGTCCTAAACTGCTTAACCGATTTTAATCAAATTTGCACACCGTGTGCAGTTTAGTCCAACTTGAGAGATATAGTTTTTTGCCCATGAGTGACCCACGTTTAGTTTGCGAATTTAAGGATTTTCAATAGGACATGACAAAGGGTCGTCGAAAAGGGTAGAACAACGTCTGCCTGGCAAGCTGGTACATATATATATATATATATATATATATATATATATATATATATATATATATATATATATTATATATATATAAAAGTAAAGTAAAGTTACAGCCTATATACGTCCCACTGCTGGGCTCATCCTCCCTTCATTTCTGAGAGGGTCTAGGGCAAGGAAGTGTCCGCCGCGCTGCCCAAATGCGTGTTGACGAACTTGACACACATGCATGCTGCACAGACATGCAGGTTTCCTCACGATGTTTTCCTTCACCGCCGAGCACGTGGTAAATCAGCACTTAAAATTGCAATTAACAATTTCATTGGTGCCGGCAGGGATCGAACCCGGGCTACTCGCGTTCTGTTATATTTACAGCGAGCGTTAACCACTGAGCTACCACGGCTCTTATACATATATATATATATATATATATATATATATATATATATATATATATATATATATATCTGGAACCATAAGGCCTAGAGACTTGAAATTTGGTAGGAATATTCCTTTCTCCGGGCAGAGGTTATCTAAAACGGAGAATTTTATGAAATTTCACCCGCAATTAACGCAACCGGTTGCGGGAGCGTTAATTGAAAAATAAACATTTTTAAACTAAACCATATAAAATATGTATACTTACGTATAAAACTTGGCCAGTATACTCTGTTTGTACATGTGTTTGAATGGGTCCCTAAATGGTTTAGATTCACGATTGGAGCCGGTAGGTGCCGCTGTTGTCGATATCCAGAAATCATCCGTGCGAAGCCGGGGCGGAACATTAGTTATTATTAAAATATAAGGGGAAGGCATACGCATTATTTATAAAAGCGCAGACACGCGTAGCCTTCTCCATGAGTCATAAATAGTTATGAGGAAAATTTGTTAGACAACTGTACAACTCCGTGGAAAGTGACAATATACTCCCGCCGGTGGGAGTGTACCTTACGACAGAAAACATAAAGATTGGAAAGGAGTGGATACTGGCGGATAAATCGTAGAATCTATTTAAAGTGATAAGTGAACTAACTGTCACTTGTCAAGAATAAAAGCAAACATGGAATATCTTTCAGCCTGAAATCATACTTTCTCGACTTACCCTTCAGATTGTAACATAGCTGTGCAAGCAGTGCTGATTGTCCCAGATCCACCTAGACAGAGATTGAAATTTTTGCTACCGCTATCAAAAGGCAAAATCTCTATTTATTTCAGAAACATGTCGGTTAATTAAGCATGCCAGTATAGAGTACGAGTGTACAGAAGATGAAACGGAAAAGCCCAGGCCGTGTAATGTGGAAGAAACCGAGGGAACAATTGTCAAGACTTCATGCCGAAAACCAAATTACTTTTCCCCGGTTGAGCTGCCGTACATGCATTGTCAACAGGGAATGTGGAGCTCGGGACCCATTTGTACTGCAGGTGGGTAAAACTATTATACGTTAAGGAAGGTTACGTATGGTAGGCATCACCCTCTTCGCGAAATAGCAGTGTTTCGTCAAAAAGGTATTATGATATATGATACTGAATGACCTTTTTTACCATCTGGAAAAAAATAGGGTGTAACATGTGAACGGAGTAGAAGCCTATGGCACTGATATATTACAAGAAATAAAAACAAAATCTTTTAATTAGATAAATTAATTAATTAAAATCTTTCGAAATTCAAGTCATACCCACCATCTTTACGAACGTCAATAAAACAATAAGTTTAGTAGGCATCTTTGACCTTGTCACTTCGCAGGGTCACAAGCTTAAGGGCCTGTAATTATATTAGTACAGTATTAGTATGGTATTAGTATAGTATTAGTATATTATTAGTATAGTATTAGTATAGTAGGCAAAGTAATTGCTCAAAAAAATTTCACATGTTTAATTTAAAGTATTTTTTTTTTGTCAAATATCAGTGCCATAGTCTATTACTCCGTTCACATGTTACACCCTATTTTTTTCCAGACGGTAATAAAGGTTACTAGTATATTATGTTTAACTAATTACAACACTATGTATAAGGTGAAATGATTGGAGCTGTAACTATATTTTTTTTAAATATTTTGTAGACACAGTTTACCGACCTTCGGAAAGTGTAAAGTTATTAAACTAGCTACATCATGTTGTGTAACAATTCATCCATCCACTACAGCCGATCAAAAGTTTACTGCTGAACGTCGGGAGGTCGCCTCACGGGGGGATTTCGATGTACTATGCCATAGTTGCCAAGCTTGCCAGACGAGCTGGTACCGTAGTCTTTCCATTATCTTCTGTTGTTGTCAGGAAAATGCCTTCAGTTTGATTCAGTTTTCCTCTGTCGCCTTTTACATTTATTTATATATTTAGAAAGATAAACCATCGACAACATCAATATGCATTGTTACAAACAAAATACTAAAGACAAAGGATATGTATTTACAGAAAAATTAAACAACATAGATATAAACTCTAAAACAAACAGAAATCAAACTAATTAAGGTACAAGTGGTAAAATTAAAATATTTATTCAACCGACTTCAATATAATTAAAATGAGAATCATCAGTATATTCGAAGTCAATTAAATACAAGAAATACTAATCAGATCTTGATTAAATTAACACCACACGAGAAGCACCAGCTTTCAGATAAAAATATAATATAATAAAAGAAAGAAAAAAGTTATGAGGTAATCTATTTACTTAAATCATAAAAGATTTTTAATATTGATATGGTCACTATAAGATGTTGTTAGGTTAGCTAATTATGTAATAACTTACTGAATAAATTAACCGACTTGGTATTACATGAATCTCACAACTTTTTACGGTAGAAGAACTGAGTTGTGTTTTTTTTTACAAGTTATGTTTTTGATGGCATTGCATTGACGGCGAGCGCTCAGCCCCTGAATTTGTTTTTATATTTCTGTATTTGATTTCTTTTAATGTACAAAACTCTGTATGTATAGTTTATACAACTGTGTAATACGTAAATTTATCAACACAGAATGTGGAACCCTACCGCCAAAGAGCACACCGTTGGTGCTGAAAGGATCGACGGCGAGGTTTGGCGAGGTGCCTTGGCACGTAGGGATTTACTACAAAAATCCCGTATCAAAGAAACATGTGCAGATCTGTGGCGGCTCTTTAATTAGTAACACAATTGTGTTGTCAGGTAAAATAAATTTATTTCCAATTTTAAGTTTTCATGTTACAAAGTTGACGGCTACGTGGCTTAGTAATGACTTGCAGCGCTAAGGGTCGTGGGTTCAAATCCCGCACAGAACAAGTATTTATATGGCCTACAAAACATTGTTTTGTGGCAATTTATTTTTGTAAACTATCACTATCACGATACTCGAGAAAATCTTAGTGTGAAGGTTACGTTTTAATAGGAATGAGAAACAAAATAGGGGATGGGAAATTTGTGTTTATATATATATATATATTTTTTTTAATATATATATAGAGGGACATACTTTATTTTCAGTAAAATATTTTGACTGCTAGGAAGAACAGCTAAAGTCTTTTAAGATCTTTGAACCAAACAAAACTTGCCTTTATCTATTAGCTTCACATGTGCTAAATGTCATTACGCTAGTATCTGTTTTTACTACGATATTGACGTAAATGTCAAGATTAAGTAAACGTTCTTCTTCCCCCTCACATGGGGTAAGAGGGACAGTCATTGTATTTCTTAAGATTGGACTGTGAATTAAAATATTCTTTGCTAAATGTTCGTTAATTTGTAGGTAGAACTGCTTCTGTCAGATCTTACAATCGATGAAATAAGGTATCGTTTCAAATGAAAAAGAAGAAAAATCAATTCAAGGTAAGAGGGACATACAGGTTCGATCAGGGGTGGCAAACTAAAAAGAAGTTGACCAGTTATATTTCTATATTTATTTAATCATACAAAAAAAATCATACAAACGGTAGTAATATATATCCCTAACTAGTTTTCCCTAGTTAGTCACTCTTTAAAAATAACAATGGCACTTTGGATTTTAAACGTTTGCGGTCGTATACACGGTTAACAAATGTTATTCTTGGTATATTGTAAAGTTTTGACACGAAGTATGCAGATATTGTTCCATTTGATACCGCATTGACAGCCTTACTTAATTTATCATTATCATATCTGCTTATATCAGATTTTCTTATATATTTTCGCGTCGTCGTATTCCTACAACAGTCAAAAGCGCTATAATATAACAAAATATTACAATTAAAAAGAAAGTGACGTATACAAAACGCATGAAATTTTATTTACCTAAACTAATTTAAAAAAAGAAAACATTTGATTTTTTATTTGTTTGTTATGATTTAGATAACTCAAAAACTAAAATACGATTTCAAAAATAAATTTAACACAAAAATAGGTAAGCGTGGACGAATTTGTGGGAAATTTCTAGTTTAGTTATAATTTAAAAGTGTAGTAGGTACAAAACAGTCAGTCAATTCTTTTCATTTAACCTACCTATAATTATAAATTACTCAAAATGTGTGTTACGCCTGACATAGTGTAAAAGAAACATATGTTTCTCTTTCACCGTGAATAGTGAGCCTCTTACCCCAGCTATTGTTTTTGGAGGTTTAGATTTCCAAGCGAAAGAAACTCATATTATTAGTTGTTTTTAGACTAAACTGGTTAATAAAAAGAAATAATTACAGTTTTCTCCTTATATCATTACATTCAAAATATTTCCAGCTCTCTTTTTTCACCAAACTATTGGTTCGCAAAAAAACGCGCTAACTTTGTACTAGTCGAATTCACAACTGTCAAATGTGTCTTCATTTTTTTTGTGTCTTCTGAGTCACGTAGCTATATCTATTGAAAACCGTTCAAACTAATTCGCATTCACTGTTTTATTGAAGAAAAGTTCATAGTCATACGCACTTCGGTTTACTAGTTATGGTCCCTGGTCCATCTTACCCCGGTGTCCCTCTTACCCCACCTGACCTTACATATATATTTATTTAACAGATACACCATTGGCTCATCACTAGACATTGGGTGCGTTCGGCAGAAAAAAGCGCTAGCAAGCGCTTGTAAGCAAAATGGCGATCGTAAGCGGTAAGCGCTGTCAAATCGTAAGTAGCTATTTTCCTCCAGGACACGATGTTAGTTTTAACCGGGGAATCTAACCTAATTTAAATATATGTTTGTAAAGTATTCATATTAAAAACTTACCAATCATGAGTTTTTAATAGCATGTATATGTTTATTCATGTCATTATATTACTTAAAACTAATATTGCACAAAACAACTTATAAACTCTACTTCAAAACAAACAAATTAAATAAGCAAAATGGCGGATTGTGTCAGCGCTACTGAAGTAGCAATTGTGTCCTGGCCGAAAACTATTTTAGCGCTTATAAGCGCTTGCTAGCGCTGTTTTCTGCCAAACGCACCCATTGTTAAATATAACACAATTGGTTTTGTTCAAAATGATTCGCCTTTAAAGGTATATACAACCGTCACAAAAATAGTGCAGCTACAATAAGACAGTTGTTAAATTACTTAACTAGAACAATATCATTAATAAATTTACAAGTAATTTGCTTACAATAAAACTAGTGCTAAACTTGAAGAAGAGAGAAAGAGTTATAAATACTTATTACATAATCTAGCAAATTTTGATACGTTATCCGTATGGAAAATGTCGACGTCTCCGTTGGTAGTTATGTCGTTTGTTTGCATTAACCTATTTACTGGGGCTCGTTTACCCAAATTTGTTCTCTGGTTGGGTAAACAGAAGATTTTGGTAATCGGATGTCTTGGAATAGATCTTGGAACTCTGATACTTATTTGATTTAACAGTGCCGGTGATAGCAGGCCGTGAATTAGCTTATAAAGTGTTTTAAGATCGCTAAGTTGACGTCTATTTTCGAGAGACTCTAATTTGAAGCCTAGTATTACAGTCAGTACGGTAAGGATAAGTTTGATCTTTAAAGGCTAAGTAGCGGGTAAAATTGAGCTGCATGCGCTCTATTCGATCACTGTGAATTTGGTATGATGGGTTCCAAACAGGTGATGCATATTCTAGTATATATATATATATATATATATATATATATATATATATATATATATATATATATATATATATATATATATAACCATTAAGTTTTAAAATAAATTACAGCTACTTAATATTTAAGATAAATAATTGTTCACATCGGGTAAAGTCGGGGCGGGCCTCTACCCTCTAGTCTGTTATCGACTTGAAATATTCAAGAGTTAAAATTTTTATATATTATATTAAATAATTGGTTTTGCGCGTGTGTGGCAGCATGTGCACGTGCACGTGTTTATTGTGTTTAAAAAACAACTAAAGTAATAAGGGCACTCACAGTCCACCTGACGGTAAGTGGCTACTGCAGTTCGTGAACACGAGCATTTAACTTCAGATATTAAGGGCTGCAGATATGTTGCCACCTCTGAATACACACAGCTCTGCAAGCACTGATGTTTGGCAACAGAAATAGAGCGTGGTACTTATCCAGACCTGTCCTACCACCTTGAGTGTTATGAACGATTGAGTATCTTTCGATGGAGGCTCAGCTTGGGTCGCCTCAGCTCCTGATCTATTTTGCCATTAAGGCAGGTTTTCAAAACCGATCTCGAGCTTAAATGCAACGCGCTTTTTATACATGGTAGAGCCACGCTGCAGCTCAACCTGAGATGGTCCACGTTCACATAGAATACCTGCATAAAATAACTGCTTAATGCTGCTGTGTTTCATATGGTGAGAGTAGAGGTCCGGGGACTCTATTTTACTGGAAACGAGGCATTCCATGCAGATGCGTTGTCCGGCCTAAGGACTAACTTGGGGGTAACAATGCATCTGCATTTTGATTCTTAATCTAGGATAAATGTAGACGTCTACGGCCCCATAGCATCCACTTACCATCAGGTGGACTGTGTTCTCTTTTGTCACCTCTATTCTATTAAAAAAATTCTCAATGTACAGTTTTGTGTAGCATAGTATGGTCTAGTAAACAACAAACCAGGAGTGAGACATTCCTTAAAACAACTAAAAGAAAAACTGCAGTTGCCTACCTGCCTACTAAGCGTGGCAATTATGGCAAATATCTACCTATGAAGCAATCTTATGTACGCGGCACGAACGAGTCGGCTCGACCGGGAAAAGACCACTCTGTTATAGAATATCAGCGTAAAATAGCAACAAAATGCTTCTGTGTTTCGTTTGGTGAGTATAAAGAACCGGAGACACATTTCACTTAAACGGAACATTCCATCTTGGTCCTCAGGATTGACAACGCATTTTGATTCTTAATTTAGGATAGATGTAGATGTCTATAGGCCACAGCACAGTAGAACTTCCCCATCAGGTGGACTTATCTTGAAATCTATGGGGAGGCCTATGTTTAGCAGTTAACTTTTGTTAGGCTGTTACACCATGGTTTAGTCTAGACACTAATTTTGACAGTAGAGTTAGATTTCAAACTCGAGATTGTCTCCGAATTCCGTCCTTTCTGAATTATAAAAACGTTACTTTCTTGCAGTTATGGAATTATAATAGTTTTTATTATACAATTTTTAGCGGCTCATTGCTTTTGGAATGAAAACACTCAAAGAGTGCAAGACGTGGCGAACTACGCCGTGGCTGTGGGCAAACTATTCAGGGAGTGGAATCATCCAGACGATGAGCCATTTGCACAGAAATCTGACGTGAGTTTTTGTATTTTTTTAAAAAATACTAATTTTGCAGACTATATATTTATAATTTGAAATGTTTGAGGAACAAACTTAAACAAAGAAATAAAGAGACAAAGCTTTAACCAAGCACAACCTATTGTAAGAAAGAACACGCACTCATACACTCATAATAATGTCCTCCAGACCGATAATCGGTCACGGCGGCCAGTCTCAACGGAGACTAGCCATCGGCGCAGGATAGGATTATAGTGCCTAAGTGTATGCGCAAGCACAGGTGCACTCTCTATTGTCTCATTCTCATGGTCTGATGGGACGGTAAGCGGACAGAACCGGAGAGAGATCAGGCACAAGACCAACGGCTTTACGTGCTTTCCGAGGCACGGGGGTGAGTCACTGCTAACTTCCGAGCAGCTACTGTGAATTTCTTAATGGAAAAACTCAAAAACTGATTTTTTGGCCCGACCCGGGATTCGAACCCAGGACCTCACGATCAGCAGTCGCACTACCACAACCACTAGACCAACGAGGCTGTCAAACACGCACACATATGCGTTTAATGTCATTAAAAACTAACAATATGATTGTACGTTTTAAGTGCATATGTGTGTATCACGTTTAAGTGCATAGTGTACGGCTCTGAAAGGAATAAAAAAGAAAGATGTGTGCGTGAGTCAAGTCAAGAAGTTAAGCATGGCATCGGGTTCACTTGAAATGTACGCAGCTCTCTCCACCTTTCTGTGTAGATCTGAGGGAATAAATGAGATAACAGTACATCTCACAGCTAGTGCTGTGAGATGTGCTGCGGTCCACGGACACCTGCACCGAAAGAACGTTACACAGATGCGTTGTCACCTCAGAGGACTAACTTCGTACGTGGTAGAGCCAGCTATATTGTAGTTGTAGCACGAATGGTTCGACTCGACCGGGGAAGGACCACGCTCTCACAGTATACCAGCGTAAAATAACAGCTTAATGCTGCTGTGTTTCGTATAGCGAGTGTAAAGAACCGAAGGCCATTTCTACTGGAAACGAGGCATTGCATTTCGGTCCTCAGGGATCACAACGCATCTGCATGGTTGGTAACCGTAGTTTTTTATTTTTATTTTAAGTCGTTATCAGGAAGATGCTGCTGCCCATCTCTTGCCTGTCTCCCTCTGTCGCTTCTTACGACACCCACGAGATGACATGGGGTGGTGGATATTCTTTATATATTCTCTATAGACCAGCCCTTAAGTTATAAGTCCAAGTGCATTATTATAAATGTAAAATAGTAGCTAATACACATAATCACTAAAATATAAAATCAAATAAAAAATCCATATACATATTAGCTGGTGAACCAATGCCTACCTCAGAGTACTAGGGCACCATCATTTACAAACGACGTAGTATTAAAATTGCTACTTCCAGGTGTCGGAGATAGTCGTGCCGAAGTTATACCGCGGTTTGGAACTTTATTTTAAAAACGATATTGCTATAGTAAGAGCTTCGAGACCATTTGAATACAAGCTCTACGTGGTGCCAGTTTGTTTGGATTTCAACGAGGAGTTCAGCAACATTCAGCTACGGAATGGAAACCGCGGAAAGGTACGATTATAGCTTCTGTAACATTAGATGAGGCTCCGTAAGTTGGATATGTGGTCGAAGAGTCGCAGGTATGGATCACGTACGGGACAACAATTTGTATTGTTCGTAGGCTGATTGCAGTCACGCTGCTTATCAAATACAGGAGTATATACAGGAGTATAATTAATACGTAATAGAGCCATTCTGTAGTTATATTAGTAGTATAGTTGTAGCACGAATGGGTCGGCTTGACCGGGGAAGGATCACACTCTCACAGAATACCAGCGTAAAAGGGGGTTATCATAATCAAGGATAGATGTAGATGTCTATGGGACACAGCTTCCACTTACCTAAAAAAACTATTGTATAAAAAATACATTTGTAATTCTATATACAATGATAGTTTTTGCCATACTTTTACTAAGTTACTTTGTTGTTTGACTGTAGTTCTGGGTGGTAATTATTAATTGATTTTAAACTAATTTACGGATGAGCTGGAAACTTTAAATTTTAAATATTGCTCAATTTCGGATGACAATGCAAGAATATGATAAAAAAATGTGGTAATAATCTTTTTAATGTTTAAAATATGTCACTTGTTCATTGCACTATGTTCAGTGAACTGTGTGCTCGTTTGTCACTCTATCCTAGAAAAAAGATCCTTAGTCTGGTGTTTTTATTAAAAAATAATTTCCGCACAATAGACGTCAAGTCACTTTGTACCAAAGAAATAAAGCACGACTTTAGAAGCTATTATGTCTTTTTCGTTTTCATAATCGGTTAATTTTTTCCGATCGGAGGACGGAGTGCAAAGTTGGTACGTGGAATGTTAGAGGGGGCATGAGAGATAAGACGAATGAGTTGATCGAAATAATGAAAGAAAGAGAATTAGGTGTCGTGTGTATGTCGGAGACCAAACGGAAAGGCAGTGGTACTGAAGAGCTCCCTGGCGGGACGTTAGCTATATGGTCCAGAGTCCCGGAAAGCGAGAACGCCTGCCAGGGAATGGGGGTGCTGCTGTCGTCCCGGTTGGTCGATCTTATGACTGAATATAAGGTTGTGAACTCAAGACTTCTCTGGGTTCGCTTTAATAAATAAATAAATAAATAATATTCCACAGCTATCACACAACGCCATCTAGTCCCAAGCTAAGCAGAGCTTGTGTTATGGGTACTAGACAACTGATAAACATACTTATATATTTCTAAATACATAAATATTATAGATAAATTACACCCAGACACAGAACAAATGATCGTGCTCATCACACAAACACTTGTCCTGGGTGGGAATCGAACCCACGACCTCCGGCATAGCAGTCAGGGTCACTAACCACTAGACCAACAGGCTTTAAACTGGGACTGACGAGGTTATTCCTTTTGGCTGTTTATTTGCCGGTAGCTTCGTCGTCCAGGGCTGAGCTGGAGGAGTTTTGGGAGAATGTAAGAGAAGTTCTAGATTTGGTTAAGGGAAACGAAAGAACTGTTGTATGTGGTGATTTGAATGGATGGGTAGGTATCGCCCGACCAGGATACAAGTCGGTGCTTGGAAAGTTTGGCGATAAAAGGGTTAATGATGCTGGCAAGCTTATACTGGCTGTATGCAAGGAAAAGGGTCTTCTTGTGACAAACAGTATGTTTAATCACAGGAAAATCCATATGTACACTAGAGAAAGAAAGAATGAGAAAAGTATGATTGATTTGTTCCTGGTGGATGACCGACTGCGAAAACAGGTGATGGATACACGAGTGTTCAGAGGTGCTGACCTGGGAACGGATCACTATCTAGTAATTACTAGATTTAGGGGTTTGTTCGCGGGTTGGCGCTACCGGACGGCAGTAACAGAGCCTCAATCGGTCTGTCGCATCCGAAGCTGGAAGCTTCAGGAAGCGGATACTAAGGAGAAATATCACACTAGGGTAGCCGAAAAGCTTGACACCATCGATGGCAGGAAAGAATGTGTGGAGAGAACATGGCAGAACCTTAGGGATGGAATGGTAAGTGCAGCGGAAGAAGTATGTGGAACGACAAAAAGAGGTAGTAGTAAAAGAAGGAGTGCATGGTGGAATGATGAAGTGAGAGAAGCTGTAAAAAAGAAGAAAAAAGCATGGTTAGACTACTTGGCCTCTAGTAATGATAAGCATATGAGAGAAAAGGTGAAAGAAAGATATAAATTGCAGAAAGTTCATGCGAAAACACGAGAAAGTGAAAACACGAGAAACACAGAAAGTGTAGAATAGAAGCGGACGAAATGTTGTCGCACAACTTTAAGGAAAACTCCAAACTCTTCTGGAAAGAGGTTGGAAGGTCCCGGAGTGGTGCGACAGCCTTAAGAATGAACAAAGTGCTTTCGAGAACCAATGACGTCCTCTCAGAAAAATCGGACGTCATGCAGCGATGGAGTGAATTTTATAGAGAAATGTATGAGTGTCATGATTTTAGTGAAGGATCCGGGGTGGCGCCGTGACTGGCACGCCAGACACGAACCTCGAGGACACTGAGGTCATCAGCATGAAAGAGATTGAACGTGCGATTCAAAGTTTGAAATGTGGTAAGGCTGCGGGACTAGACAGAGTTACTGCTGAAATGGTACGGTGTGCCTCGCGTCTGGGACAGATTTCATCTGCTGTGCAATTTGTGCTGGCGGACGGGAGGTGTCCCGGATGATTGGCGATCCGCGGTCATTGTGCCTTTATATATAGGTAAAGGTTCACATTTTGACTGCGGGTGCTATCGGGCAGTCAGCTTGACCAGTTTAGCAAGTAAAGTTTACTCGAAGGTTTTGACACGTAGGATGCAAGAGAAATCGGAAAGATTCTTATGGGAGGCACAATGTGGATTTAGACCTGGAAGAGGATGCATGGATCAAATGTTTTCTCTCCGCATGATCACGGAGAAGCTTCTGAGTGTTAACCAGAAGATTTTCTGTGCTTTTGTGGATCTGGAGAAAGCATTTGATAAGGTTATAAGGAAGAAAATGTGGGAACTGTTGCTGGAACATGGTGTGGATGGTCGATTGTTAAGGACTGTGCAGTCACTTTATGTTTAGCGTCCAAGCGGTCGTAAAACAGAGTTGTGTCATGTCTTCCTGGCTGTTCATACTGTATCTCGACAGCTGTTTACAGAAGCTGAAAAATAGCTGTTTGGGTGTGAAATTGGGACATTAAAGTTAATTGTCTGCTGTATGCTGATGATGCAGTGCTTATTACACCATCAGAAGCAGAACTGCAGACATTAGTCACGTGTATGAAAGAGGAATGTGAAATTAAAGGTCTCCGTTTAAATGCTAATAAAACTAAGGTTCTGGTATTTGAAAAGGACGAAGAGAGAACGAAATGTGAAATATGGGTAAATCAGGAATGTCTAGAACAGGTAAATAAAATTGTATAATTGGGGAGTGCTTTCAGCCGGGATGGAAGATTTGATTTAGATGTGGACAGGCGTGTCGCTGCCGGGAACAAAGTCAATGGTGCCCTGAATGCGTTAATCAAAAGGCAAGGCGTAGTGAAGAGTGCACGCCTTGCAATACATAACGCAGTGTTGGTGCCGACTTTGTTAAATGGCAGCGAAACCTGGGTATGCCAAAAGAAGCATAAAAGCAAGTTGAATGCAGTGGAGGTGCGATCTCTTCGTAAAATGTGTGGCGTTACCATTGCCGATTCGAAGCGAAACGAAGAGATTCGCAATATGGTAGGATTGTAAGATGACCTTATCACAAAAATTGATTGGGGCGTAATCCGATGGTTTGGGTACGTTGAGCGAATGAGTGAAGACCGAATGGTGAAGAAAATATATAGCGCGAAAGTAAATATTAAAAGGTGTCGAGGTAGACCAAGACTAACTTTCGAAGACCATGTGAGCAAATTGCTCGAAGAGGGGAAGGTCAAGAGTACTCGGATACCTAGACGTGCATGTATGAAGAAGTTAATGAACCTGAAAGAAGCGAAAGAGGTATGTAAGGATCGTGACACTTGGCGATCTGTTCTCTCTGACTACCCCGTTAGGGATTGTGCGTGAAGATAAGTAACTAAGTAAGTAAGGTTAATTTTTTTTAAAAGTTTATCTAATAAATATCATAAGTCCAAGGTAATAACTGGAGTGTCGTTTAATATTTTTATGGATGTTTTTAAAATAAATATGGAACCCCATATTTAATGCAATGCAGAATGAATCGTTTGCGAGAAATTAGTTAACGTATAATAAAAAGAACGGGTCTAATATTGAACATCCCCGTTATGTGAAGTTGGTAAACAATCTTTACCCACAATAATTTTCCTGCAGTAATCATTTGCGTTAGTTCTATAACTGTCTTCGTTAACATTTTGACGAGTAGTATTATTGAAACAATGGCGATAAAATTTGTCTTTTAATCTACGAAATTATAGTTTTTATAAGTGGCTATTTTGAGTTTTGATATTATAAATTCAATATGAAATGAAAAATTTTAATTAGTGTCATATGATATTTTTATAGTATAAGGACATGCAAATGAGCAGACAGTCAACCAGTTGGTAAGTGGATGCCGTGGTTTATAGACATCTACATCTATCCTCGATTAAGAATAAAATGCAGATCAAAATATACAAATTGCTATTAACAATTTCATTGCTGCTCGCGCAATCGAACCCGGATTGCTCGCGTACTCTGTACTTTAAATAGCAAGTACTTAGCCCCTGAACTAGCAAACGACTTCGTCTGCATGAAAGATGTTACCGTTGGTTTTCATGGCTTATGATTATTTGCGCGGAAACCTAATTTTTTTTTGTTATAGAATCCGCATACGTTCATATGCATTTAGAAAAAATATGTTATTTTGATATTCCAAAGAGACACTTTAATTTTATTTATTTGTGTGGATTAATTTTAGGCCGCAGGCTGGGGTCTAACAACAGGAATGGTGGGGTCCGAGTCATCCATATTAAGAGTGATCAACTTACCCTACGAGGACTACGAGAGCTGCCTTAATTTGACTCCGGCAGCATCATCGAGGTACATCACATACGACGACAAGATCTGCGCTGGCACTTTAGATGGTAATTCTTTTTTTTATAGATAAGGGTAGCAATCGACCACACAGTCCATCTGATTAAGTGGGTGCTATGGACCCTAGGCCTTTGGCCCATTTATCCTCTATTAAGAATCAGAATGCAAATGCGTTCCATTAAAAAGGGTCATTAAGCTGCTATTTTACGCTGGTATTCTGTGAGAGCGTGCTCCAGACTAGCCGCCCATTCTTATTACAACCATAATATAACTGCGTGGCTCCACCACGTGTAAAAATGTCATTAACCTTGTAGCGATGGTATAATAATATCTACAAATACATGGGACCCAGGACATTGGCAGCAGCATCTGCCTGATGATAGCTGAATAAAGTTTAAAGCTGTGGTTGCTAATCTACTTGCCAAGCGTGGCAACTATGACCCCTGGGAGGTACTTTATGGAGGAAGCCTTTCTTTAGCAGGAGCCTTTTGATAAGCCGTTAGGGTAATTCATTGTCTTCAACGTCATTTTTGAAGATATCTTATGATGAAAGAAATGTTTTACTGTAATTAATTTCAATTATATTTTAATGCTACTTCAATTAATTAAAGTCTTTAAATTAATTAAATATATTTTTAATTATATAAACACGGTATTGGAAATAGTACGGCACTTAAGAAATTTTCAAATGTCTTTTATTTAGAGACGAATTTATACACGATATATAATTACGTATACTCATTAATGAAACAAGGAAGTTTAATTCGGTTTAAATGCAGTACGTGATATGATTTTTGTTTAAGGTTTTATTACATTTAAGAATAGCAGTATATTAACGTCTCACTGCTGGGTATAGTGTTTCTCCCATTCCAGAGAGAATGAAAGGATTTGGAAGCCGCACTAATTAAGAATGCATCAAGTAACCGTTACCGGTATCGTTACAGCCTATTGGTAACCGCAGTTTATTTTTATTTTTAGTCGCTTATTTGGAACGCTGCTCCTTATCTCCTGATTTGTTTCCCTCCGTCGCCTCTTACGACACCCACGAGATGATATGGGGTCGTGGATATTCTTGCACCACCACTACATGGTCAATTACGATGCATTAACTGATGTTTTGTATTTATTCATTATCAACATCATTATATCTATACTTCAGCCCATCAAAGTCCATTCAAGACTTCAAGATACTGTAAGCTCGTTCTGCGTTGATTGGAAATTTAATCCATGGATAATTGCATTATTATTCAATCAAATTATTAAATGATTATAAAATAACGGTCCATTAATAACATTAATTAATATTCTAAAGCAGAAGTTAACCGGGTTAACTACGACCGATGTCGTCGAACAGCTCAGTCCCCTTCGTGACCGTGGGTGCTATAAAGCACCCAAAACTTCGGGAATTAAAAGTTAAAACCCAATAAAATCCGTAAAAATAGTTTCATTTATGTATGTATTAATGTTTTAGAGTTCTTGACTCCTGAGAGCGAGCATACCAGGTCATTGTCATCAAAGTGTTATATTTTCATCGGTTCTTAATACCACTGCAAAATCAGATTCAGACTGTTTAGACGTCTGGAAGTTGGTGAAAACAGAATTACTAAATTTATATTGATATACAATATGTAACGTAATTAACGCACACCCTCAGATACCCCAATTAGTATATTATGTTATAATCATAATACATACACTGAATTTTTAGTTATTTTTACTGACAATTAGTTCTTTCGGAAGAGGGTCGAACGAAAGACTTAACGTGCTTGAAATAAAGTTTATTTTAATTCATTTTTATTGAATAACAGAATTAGTAATAATACAATCTATGTGGCATTAGTGTGGTAAGATGGGTGTGTAGTATTTTTTTGGGTACTATATGATAGGAATCGATCAGTAAACGATTCTGAACAAACTTCAAGTGCGTTAATTATATTGTGTTGTTACACACCAACAGGTAAACCTAATAGAGAACTTGTAAAAAAGTAACAAACATTTCTGAAGCTTATATCTAAGACTAACCTCTGGCTCTGACTTGACTGAGGAAGTACTACGCTCACGCAGAACTCCTGCGTAAAATAACAACTTAATACTGCTGTGTTTCGTATAGTGAGTGTGGAGAACCGGATACCTTTTTTACTGGAATCGAGACATTCCATCTTAGTCCTTAGGGGTGACAACGCATCTGCGTTTTATTTATTAATTTGTTTAACTAATGGTTCATCACCAAAATTACAATTTTATAAAACAAATGATCGTTTAATAAGTAATTACAGATGACACAGCTTGTGCCGCGTATTGATTCTTAATCGAAGATATATATATATATATATATATATATATATATATATATATATATATATAAAATATAGGCATCTCTGAATCACAACATCTGCTTACCATCAGGTGGACTGTGTGCTCGTTTGTTATGTAAACTTTAAAACAAAATTAATTTTATTTAATTAAGATTTTGGGCTTGGATGCTTGTACTTTAAGTCATGTCTTCATTTCATTCGGGATCTTCTTTTTAAAGATTTTTTCTTCACAATATGCTGATGCATCACATTGCGAAGTCTTTGGGAGATTTTGACGACAGATCGACCTAATGGACAGTTCATTACGACAGTCACTCCAGTTCATAAGGCACTTAAGCGATCAAAATAACTTGAGGTTTATATCAATATTGAAGCACTTGTTTCGTCGTTTTCTCTAATAGTTCACATTGTGCAGGAACTTATTACACAAAATGAAATTCCACTTCAAACTATTATTTAAACGATAAAACACGAGCAACAACCCGTCGACAGTCAAGTTCCCGCCAAAAACCCTAAAAAAAGTGTTTATTATATTATAGGTGAGGCTCTGTGCAGAGGAGACAGCGGCGGTGGCCTTGCCTTCCCCTCCTCAATTTCTGGACGAATGAGGTTCTACTTACGCGGCATCGCTTCAACGAGTCCGCCAACTAACGACCAAACTGTGTGCAATACTCATTCTTTGACTAGCTTCACTTCGGTTATCAAATTTGAGAAATTCATAAAGGCGTATTGGTATCCATGAATATTGTAACTTTGGTATTTAATTTATTTAATTCGACTTTTTATTAAAATAAAATAAAGAAGACACCTCTTTAAATGTTTTTTAATATTAAAAATATGTATCTGGACGTTACCGATACAGCCAATAAAATAAATATATGTATACAAGTTTCTTCTATATTTTTTAACGCAAAAATGACAAAAAAATCTTCGTTTCATCCTTATTATTGAAGCCTGAAATCCATGAAGCTTTGTTTATATAACTTAGAGTATTTAATAAAACCCCCTTCCTTAGTTCCTTTTTCGTATTTCCTTAGAGCATATCACAAACTAATGGTGGAGCATATTTACCGGAAATGGCGTAACAACGTCAGCCGGGCTAGCTAGAAATTCAATATGTATTTTAAAGCGTTGAAAGAAAAAAAACTTATTTAGTCTTAAAGAACTAGAAAGAGTAAAATAATTTCATATTCTGAAGTCTTCTTCTGAAGAAGAAAATTTTTATTAAATTTTATTTTTTCCCTTTGATTCATTAAAAATGTGTGTGTTTCTCGTTCAAAGGAATATCAAAACCTGATTTACCCTTTTGAGTGCATTTAGGACTCAATGTCGTCTAAAGAGTTACAAAACCAGAATCCTTGAAGTGTAACCTGTATAATGAAAAAAGGATTGTCAAAATCAGTTCACAATGAAGGCCACCAGGGCAGCGCCACTTAATTTGACAGATTTCATAGCGGGGAAGTCGATTGCTCGATAAATGTAAAGGTTGAAGTTTTTTTTCTGTAATATTAGTTATATTTTATATTTATTAAATTAAAAATAAATAAACCTACCCACAGATATTCATAAAAGTAAAAAATTAAAAAAATATTTAAAAAGATTCCCAAAAAAAGGTCAAACCATTGCGGCACCGTTTTGTGAATTAATAATAATATAACACTCTAAAAAGATATGGACTTTTATTTAAAACTAACTTCTCAATTAAATGGCATTGTGTAACAAAAAGTAGGCGAAGTGTAGGGCGACCCCCCACTAGATGGAGTGACAACCTGGTAAGACATGCAGGAAGTCGATGGATGCAGGTGGCTCAGGACCGTGCTTTGTGGCATACCTTGGGGGAGGCCTATGTTCAGCAGTGGACTTGTGAAGGGCTGTAATGATGATGATGATGATGTGTAACAAAAAACCTCACCTTAGTGTCAACTGACGACATCTAGTTAGCGGCAGATTATTAGCCCTCATTGACGAAGATATCGTGTAACATATACAAAAAAAAAGAACAAACAGTCGAATTGTAAATCTCCTCATTTTTAATCTGATAAAAAAATAAAAAAGCAATTGTTTAATGGGCATTTATTACAAAATGCATTTCGTGCTGTATGGAACTAGAAATCCGGTATCTCGGCTACAAGAACTAGTACGTCTTGATCAAGATTTAGCGATCGACGTGAACGTGCTGAAAGTGCTACACTGCTTCCCATCGTTTGTTGACCTGATGGATGCTACCCCGCGAAGGCAGTACCTGGTGGTGTTCTGGACGGTAGGTAGGACGACGGAATGTGATACCACTGCCACCATTTGTTCCGCATAACGCTGGACCTAGGACGAAAGTAAGGTGATTACGTTTGCTAGTTGCCAGTAAATTGGGTGATAGCAGTCCTTTTTTATAGAATCAGGATGATAAACGAGTACACAGTCGAAACGGTAAATATACAGTAAAATATACGATGATCATCGAAGTTCGATGATTATCAATGTTAAAAATGAAATTATCGATATTATAACATAGATTTTGCTATATGACATATCGCATGATATCATCGATCGATGTCAACGAATCCATAATCGATTATTGGAAGGTTATTTTCAAAAGCTGACTCAACTCTTTATCAACAGAGAAACAGATTGAAAGGTACTTCTTTGTCAAAATTACTTTCTTTTCTAATCAATAGCAAAAAATATTGGACTATATAACAAATGAAATAGATGTTCGGTTTACAACGAACAAATTTTGTACGCGTCGGCATTTAACATTAAACGTTTTATTTTTAGCCAGTACATGTACGGACGCCAACAAAGCCTCGTGTGCTTACTCCTAACATTGTAACCATTTTAACAATAAATATTTTTTAAACATTTAAACAATTATATTTTAACATTTACATCAAAAGGTGTTGAATACCACAGCATCTTTTTGGTCCTTCGAAAGTGAAGTGTGATTGTGATTTTTCTTTGATAGCGAATCGGTTTGTCTGGCTTCCCAGAAGCGGGTCTCACCAAGCAGATTGAGAAGGCGCATATATTGCTGGAAGTTCATCGTCACACGGACCGCAAACAGGAATAAATCCGTTCACTTAACACCTATCGAATACCTATTAAAAACAACACCATGGAAGACTTACAAGCAAATCAACAACAGATGGTTTTTGGTATGGAGCAGCTGCTCCTATCAAAAAACGACTGGGCACTTTAGATATTTACTGGCAGGAATTTCATAAACTTCACCTCCAGGTACGTGAGTTGTGTGATGAAAATCATTCCTATATTGTGCAGAATCAATACGGACAAGTTCTTGATTTTTATGCAAAAACAAAAGACTACATACAAAGTTTCTTACCAACTGAAGAAAAATCAAGACCCTCTACTCCGATCACTAAACCAGCAACTTTCAACCCCCCCATCGCCCACGTCGTCAGCAATACCGCGACAAGTGGACCGTACTATTAACAGCAGGCTGGATCAGATGTTGCGTAAGCAAGATTATTACAAACAGATTAGTGCCTCAGACAGCAACATAAACAAAGTAAGAACAGAATTAGAAAAACTTCACGACACACCAATTTTTGGCTCTGTCTGTCATAGCAAACAATTTACTGTTGAATTTGAAAGGCATACAAGACATGATGATAGACGCCATCACTGATACATATCAGGGAAGGTTCGATGTTCATCTAATAAGCCCTACTCAGTTGAGAAATGAACTGAACACAATATCTGGACAAATACCTAAAGACATGACTTTACCTATATCAAACATACAATCAGATTTTCAAAAAATGTATAAGTTTCTTCAAATGACAACAAGGTTGACTGATAAGTACTTGATTTTTGAAATAAGATTACCATTAGTTTTGTAAACATTAAACCGATTGCAGATTACATTGCAATTAATTTAGAAAAGGATATTACATTCCAATGACATATATCGATTTACAGGAGTGTATTTTGTACGAATTTTCGGCACATTTATGCCTCCTCAAACACCCTATATACCAAAGAAATTCAGATGAAGATCTGTGTTTGAAGAATAATAACACAAATCAGTGCCAAATAGACATCGCCGAGTGCAGTAACATGTTTATTCAATTAAATAAGGCTAACAATTACTTATTTACAACATGCGACAAATGCAACGTAAGAGTTTTTTTGCGGTGATCAAGTTACCGTGGAACAGCTGAGTGATGCCGGTGTCATCGCACTGGAACCCGGTTGCACAATCAAAAGTGAAGAATTATCGATCTATACTCACAAAATTTTTACGAGTGAATTGAAAACAGGACCCGAAATTCATGCGCCTGAAATCGCTGCTATTAACCAAATTATCAAGCTATCTATCCCAGAACCCGAGGAGTTTGAAAAAGTCGTCGACAATTTCCAAGCCAACCTAACTACCTTGAACGAACACATCAAAAATCTAAAGTCCCAAGATGTGATCGCTGAAAACATAACATTCCATGACATGAGTGGTTGAGACAGCAGCTATATGCCTTGCCTGTAAACGACTACGGCAAAGAAGAAACACGGCTATCACTTCAACTATGAGCTTCGATAACATAACTACGGAAGGTCTAAGCTCCGCTCCTGTGGCTGCGGTGGCCGTCCCGAGAGCACAGCACGCCGGTGCAGTGTCCGACCCGAGAACGCAACCCGTCGCCGCCAGCGCCGAGCGTGCGTCCACACCCGCACTCCCGCACACGTTCAACACTAAGACCGAGCAACTTCGCCTATATTGCGAACCCTCATTCTTAAACGCGATGCAGAATAATTTTTATACGTACCTTTAGTCAAATCATTTTACATTTTTTTTGTATTTTTAGTTTATCTCCTTTGCTGTACGGAATGATGTTCGGTTTACTCCGAACACTTTTTGTACGTGTCGGCATTTAATATTAAACGTTTTATTTTTAGCTAGTACAAGTACGGATGCCAACAAAGTCTCGTGTGCATACTCCTAACCATTTTAACAAGAAATATTTTTTAAACATTTAAACAATTATATTTTATAACATTTACATCAAAAGGTGTTGAATACCACAACACTAGATATTTCTTTCTACTTCCATTTTTGTTATTACTGACCTGTAAAAGCTCGACGTCTCCATTTGGAGATCAAAATGTCACTTTGTAGATCTCTCAGATCAATTCTTTTTTAAATGTTATTTATCAGAATTAAACTAAGTACATTGTTTATTAATTTCTTTTATTTCATTAATCATATACCGTAAACGACAATTCTATTTTTTATTCATTTAATTCTAACCTATTAAATACATGTGCAAAAACATAGATATTGTTCAACATCGGTGTTTTGAGCAGCATAAACATCTAACATCGATGTTGAGCTATCGTTGCCAACATCGATGTCAATATCGATGTTTCTACAACTTCGAACATCGCTTATTAACTGGCTTTACGGCTCCGGGTTCTAGCCCTTCTGAGCCTAATAAATATGTAGCAAGCTAACAGTCATGGAAGTTAGAGAACAGGAGAACGATCGCTACGTACTAATAAAGCATAGCCCGCTTGTCCCTGAAAATTTGTAGAATTTATAGCCGCGCTGCCGTCGGTAAGTAGTATCTGCGAAGTAATTTTTAGTTACTGACAAAAAAAAAAAAATTAAAAAAAAGATGAAATAATATAATAATAATAATTTATATTTGTAATAATTTTTGCAATAATTAAAATCATAAAAAAACATAATTTATAATATTTTTATTAATAAATAACAAAAAAAAAATTATT